ATTTTGCAAGCGTCAATTGTCGGTGGGCTCCAAAATGGCGGACGAGTCAGTTGTGGTATATACATATAGTAGCTATAGACTATACAGTTACGTCACCGTCCGGCCCGTCAAAATTTGTAAACGAGATAATTTTACGTTTCGTTGACGGTGCGGTAACGGAACGGTGACCGTACGTATAGATGAATCGCGCTGCATGCCAATGTGAAAAGAGCTACGTCAAAAATGAAGTTTGTCCCCAACAGGAAAATGTATTTTAAGAAAGCGGTTTGGGATCTAACGTTGAATTCTAAAGCACTAACGAAGCACTAGCGATTTATAAAATTTGATGCAAATTGGAGTCTTTGTCCGGGAAAACGTGCAGTTCGCTCGAATCAATAAAAAATGTATTCTGAGAAAACTGTTCGGGTCCTAACGTTAAATTATGAAGCACCAACAAGCACTAACGATTTACAAAATTTGATGCAAATTGGAGTCATTGTCCGGGCAAACGTAAAGTTAGCCCGAACAAATAAAAAAGGTATTATGAGAAAACGGTTTGAGTCCTAACGTTGAATTATGAGAAAACGGTTTGAGCACTAATAAGCACTAACAAAGCACTAACGATCTAGCATGGTGCGATGCTGCCGGGCTATTTTATCCAGGTCAACTTCACAGACATCCTATATTGATACCTACTTAAGTAACAGTAAGTATTCAATCGAATTATAATAAGTATTCGTAATAGATTCTTCAGCACTGTCTGACAATTAACTACTTACACAGTTTAAATATAACTGTCAAAGTCAACGAAAATTTAAACACCAAACGAATGGGACTTCCGGATTCTCGATGACGCGTCTCTCTAAAGTTACGAGGCAACCTACTCTCTCTACTAACCTTCAGCCACTCCTCCAACAATTACCGCCAGATTTGAAATCAATTTTACTTTCAATGTTTGTAGTTGAAAATTGAAATCTGTAATCTGCCATTCCGTTTTTCTGTTTACATAGTCGTTTACTTGCGTAAATTGCCATTGATCTCATTTATACGAAAAAAATAGTTTTTCTAAAGACGCATCTGTGCAAGGATGAATGTAGCAGGGCTGCTTTTTCTCCACCGAAAAAACGATCTTCAAAGCACTTATCGATTCAAGATAAAACGAGCATTTTGAATATCATCAAAGCTTCTCAAGACAACCCAGAAAACTTGACAACAGAAAACGTAGAGTTTACCGCAAATGCAGCAGGTATTTTTCGTTTTTGTAGACATAAAGATTTATTTATATTAGGTGTGAGTGTCGCGAATGTTTACAAGATTCTACCCGAATATAAAACAACCTACGAACTTCACGCGCCTGAAGTATATCACAGACCGAATGCAATTTTGGACAACATCGATGCTGAAACTAAAAATTGGAGGAATGCAATTCGGCATGCCCAAAAATGTGGCAAACTAATATCGTAATGGACATCTTAGTGCAGCCTTTGGTATAATCAATGTGGGAGATGACTCGTCCTCCACTGAATCAGAATTCTGATTGAAGGCCGTGTAATCTTGAAATTGTGATGAATCTTTCTTTATACCAAACCGATGCTAATGAGAAAATTTATCACGACTTCTTGTATTCATATGAACTTTTGATCGTTTTGTGGGTGTATGACTGACGCTTATATTTTGCGAGTGACCACTATTTCTGTTCAGCGAACCGATTATAGCAAACAAATCTGAATCAAAACAACGGCATCCCTCGATCAAGTAGACAGTTAATAGCTTTGCTCTTCATTCTTGAGTAAAGAATATTCTTCTGCACTCTGCACCACATAAAGCTCTCCGTCCATCCATAGATGCACGTTGAGCATATTGGCGCCAAGGTGCTTACTTTGCGTAAACTACTCACAAATCACAATTATCTCGTTTGAAAGCGATTCTGTAGATAACATCTTTTAGAGACCGATGCAAAATATTGTCAGAGCAGATAAATTGCAATTTTACATGCACAATTCAATGTATTTGCACTCTCTATAGTTAATTTCGTGACCTGCAATAAATGTTCGGTCCTGTCTTGTTTCGATAATGAATTTATGTAACAATATTCGACATTTTATAAACATCGAACGCTTCACGCAAAAATTACATTATCAACATCAGTGCTTGTTACAATGGAACAATGTTCGCTACATGAAAAAAAGTCTAAACCAGGAAAATTAATCAATTTGGGCGGAGGAAGAGGAACCGGTTTTATTTTATACCGGTAAAGGAAAAATGTCGTTAGATCCCAAGCCTGAGCTGCAACGATAATATGTAAACCACACCAAAGCAAACGTTAAATATTGGCATGGCAGGCACCTGCATTCCCAAATAAACAAATCTTCATTTCTGTTTAATATTCAAGTGGAGCTAAATAAGTTTAGTGTTAATTTAATAGTGAAGCTCGGAAATCCCCCATCCGTTAAATATAAAACCCCAATCTGCCATAAACAAGCCACTGAAATTAATTTTCCACGAAACATTGGTAGGGAGTTCGGTGATGTATAGACGGTTACTGTAATATACTAAAAAAAAATAAATTCAACGAGGTTGTAATTAAAAGATGTCGTTCGGATCAATAACGTTAACATAGTAATCCTTTCCGGTTGAGACTGTAAATTAATTAGGATTACGAGCTTTGAGCCCCTTGAAATGCCAGAAAACTGAAATTTAAGGGAAACCCGACGTGGTACAGCTTAATCCCCACTTATTTATAATTACCTTAAGTTGACGGCAGCATCTTTTCCTTGTTATTGAAGTGCTTATATTTTTACGTCGAATAAAGTTTGTTTATAGGTAATAAAATTGGAATACATTACGTAATCATATTCCTTCCCAAAGAACAGTCAAATTTTAATTATGCCTTCGGAATCTCGTTTCTGAAACGCCAACCCTGAAACGAGGAAACTGAAATATGTAGCATCTTGAGTAATTACAGATACGTAAGAGCACGGTGATATAAACTTAAAAGTAGGTTAAGTAGTACAGATGTAAATATACATCATTATCATTTATTTAAGTCTAATTTTATTTTATTGTATTGTAACAACAAATTTTTATCAATTTGAATGTATTATTTTTATTTCTTTCTTACTTTTTGTTTGTGCTTTAGAAAAAATAAACTTTCTTTGTCGTTTCTTTCTTTCTTCTTTCTATCTGTGGTAGTAGTGCCTTTTACAGAATCATGTTTGTCTAAGGCGCCCTATAGACGTACGCTTTTGTTCGCGTGTATGTAGATGCACTCAAAAACGCATATACGAATCCGAACACTACCACTGAGCCTACCACTTCTCCTTTTCCACTGCCTACAGACACAGTTACAATTTCGTAGTATCTTGAGCGATGTCCAAATAATAAGCGGTTGATTGGAGACGTTACTGGGAAGAAGGTGTACGCAAATTCCAACTAATATAACAAATAAAAACACTGTTACCCGATAATCTACGACGATACTGATGTGCGACGATTCTTTTGGTAACTGTTTAAAATAGTCCTTAAGGGCAACTTTCAAATCATCATCAGAAGCAAATATGTGGAATAAGTGGTTTTTCAGCTTAGGTTCTAAATCCGGACTATATAGCGGATGTCTTAGTTCCTGGAAGCCACATTTATCGATAATTTGTCGAGCCTTTTGGTACCCTGTGATCGCAGTATGGTTTTATCAATAAAATGCTGAATAGCAGCTTTAAAGGTTTTAATAGCTTCTTCATAAACATCTCCGTTAGAAGCAAATCGCAAGGTTTTTCAAGTAAGTTCACAATAAAACGACAAAATAAAATGGTATCCTAGCACGCAATCCACGAAGACTTGATTTCATCATTTAAATTTTAATTACCTACATTTAAGCTATAAAGACAACTCGTAATTCTAGCACCTCCCAAAGCAAATTTATGATTGCGCCACTGTGTTTCCGCCTTCCGCTTTACGCTCTCTTTCAAAATAACAGCCCCGTTTATTCTTCGTTTTTCATATTTAAGGGAAAAAACCACTTACTCTGATAAATTCAACATCGTTGTTCTCCGGTTACCCTCGAAATTCCGCATCCTCGCCCGAACGGATAGACACCTGGGTTGCTTATCACGCACGTGGCATTGTTTATCACAAAACCAATTTTTGTCCAATAATAACACCAGAAAATACTTTATTTATGCCTTTTAAGTTTTCATACAAACTAAATACAAGATATAGATTTAAATGACTTAAACAATTAACGACTAAATTTACAATAAGAAACTAACTTTAAAAATGACAATTCAACAATTTTTTCCCATTCTTGGTCTATTTGAGATACAAAAAATTCCCCGGTCTTATAAACAACTTGAATTACGCTATATGTGCGTCCTCACTACCATTTCCGATATACCGACCGAAATTACGTTAAAACACGTATTTTTTCACTACAAGGTGCCTCGCTCTCATATTTGGCATTATTTCAACCTAGAGAAACGACACCCCTATGTAGTTTGCACAACTCTATTGATCTCTAGATCCATCTACCAATAACCATCTACATGTCGATAACGTCGGCACCTCTATATCGATCGCATATACATATCATCAATAAATCTGGGTATTATATCAATATTTCATAGTTTTTTTCGTAAATAAAGAGCGATTCAAAAATTCAGCGTCATAGTTGGCGGTGATAAAGTGTGAACGAATCTCAATACACTTGTCCGATGGACCTGCCAATTTATTTCTAGTTGTGAATTGTGGTGCACTGTCTTATTCAATGAAATGGTTTTGTCAGTTACATGGTATGTTCACAATTAAACTTTCATTGCCAATTATGATGCTGAATGTTTTTAATCGCCCCATCATTAATTTCGTAAAGAAACACATTTGTTCGTTCGTTCATCAGGTCATCAGGCAGTTTTGAGTAGGAATATAATTTTCTGTATTTTATAGCATATGTTAAAATGACATTTTAGTAGGTTTGAATGAGTATGCTAAGCCGTTCTTTAGCCGTAAGGATTGATTCTGTGATGTGTGGCGGTCGCGAGTAGACGTGCTTCGGTCGCTCTGTTGCAGTAAATTTAATATTTTTCAAAACTGTGTTAAATCGCTCGTTAAGATGCCTACTGATACAAGGTCCAATATAGATGAAGACGCTGTCGTTGAAAAAGTCGTATCCAAGGACGCTGTCGTTGAAAAAGTCGTATCCAAGGTCGTTACTTCCCAATCATTCATAGCACTCCTGTCAACACAAATTCGTGCTTGTATCGCAGAGGAATTCCAAAACCAAATCAAGGTGTTTTCGGAGAAGGTGGTACGACTCGAGAATGATTTAAGCCAAACCGAATCCGAGTTATCAAAAGTCAAAATCGAGTTAGCTGAAACTAAAGAAGCATTGAGGGTCTATAAGGACGAGACGGAGCAGTATTCCAGACGCAATAGTCTTAGGTTTTTTGGAGTCCCCGAGATAAATAAAGAGGATGTACCCACGGTGATCGCAACCCTGTGCTCCGAACGTATGCATCTCAATATTACTACAGATATGATTGATATTGCTCATCGATTACCTGGCAAAGAAGGAAAAAACCGCCCCATCATCGTAAAGTTCATCTCACGTCACGCAAAAAATCTAATCTTTAGATCCAAGAAACAACTAAAAGGCAGTTCGATTGTTATTCGGGAAGACTTAACAAAGGCTCGGCAGCAGCTACTCAAGGAATGTGCTACTAGGTATGGGTCGAAATGCGTTTGGACTAGCGATTGTAAAATATTTGTGAAAAGGGGGCCTAACGACATCAAGCGTATTAATAATTTGAGTGACTTAAACCATACATAAATCAAATATAATATTGCACAGTTTCTGCTATAAATGATTATGAATAATGCTGCAATGAGTTCACCTTTAAGCAAGCTATATTGCAAATTGTGGTATCGAGCTATCGTTCTTCAACTTGCGATATCAACGTCGAATACATCGCACTCAAGGCTGTCCAATTGTTCGGGTTTTGTTAGGATTAATTTGTAAACATTGAAATAAATAATATGTAAATTTGTTCAATCATGGATTGTTATCGTAATATTAAATTTAAGTAGTTTTCTTATAGTATGCGTCTAGGACACATTAATATCAGATCTTTGGTACCCTCTCTCTATGATCTTAGAAGTTTTTTAGATGCGAACAATTATGATGTACTTGCAATTGGTGAAACGTGGTGTCATCCAGGAATAACAGATGAAGCCATTGAGGTTAATGGCTATAACGTATACCGAAAGGATAGGGATGGTAGAGCAGGAGGAGTTTGCATCTATGTTAAACAATCATTTAAATGTAATGTCGTTAAGAGCAATAGTCAAATTGAGCAGTTATGGTTATCGATTAAAGTTGGTAAGTTTAGTGTTGCTTGTGGTTGTGCTTACAGGTCACCAACAGTAAATTACAAATTATTTTTGGACGAATTGGAGTCTTCACTAACGCTGATGCACAGTAGCGGCGATCTCGTTGTTTGTTTAGGTGATCTGAACATTGATATGAGTTGTAATCATTTACCTGCAACAGAATATATTAGCACAATGTTAGATGCTATTAACTTTAAGCAATTAATATGCGAACCCACACGGCTCACTAAAAAATCGTCAACGTTAATCGACTTAATTCTGGTCAACGATTCAGAAAGGGTAAGCTCATCAGGTGTTCACTATAACGGTATCACTTCAGATCACGAAACAATCTTCTGCGATCTAGATATTGCTACTATCAATAATCCAGCCATATTCAAATCTTTCCGGGATTTCACTTACATGGATGCAGTGAAGTTTAATGACGATGTGCATAGAGTTCCATGGCAGAACGTATTTTATCTTAGCAATGTTGATGATAAGGTTGATTTTCTCTGCCATAATATATTACACTTAATTAACAAACATACGCTCATTCGAAACATAAAGGTAACTAAACGAAATGCGCCGTGGGTAACACCCACTGTCAAAAATTGTATGCAACTCAGAAATGAAGCATTAAAGAAATTTAAGCATACAAGGTCGCAAAGCGATTGGTCTTATTACAAAAATCTGCGAAATCAGGTAAACTTTATGCTGAAACATGAAAAAACAGCTTTCTTTGAACAAAAGATCAATGCTAATAATAGTAAGCAGCTTTGGAAAGATTTGAAAGAGCTTCTATCATCTAATAATCTGCACTCTGAATTGCCTGTCCATCTAAGTGACCCTGAAGCTATAAATACCTTTCTATTAAGCTCAATACCGAACTCAAATGATCGCGATGTAGCCCATTTAGTCAACTTCTACAAACAGAATAATCCGTTTTCCAATGAGGATCAATTCAATTTCTCACCAGTCCTCACAGCTGATGTCGCCAAAATTATATCGGGAATTAAATCTACAGCTACCGGACACGACGATATTAATATCAATATTATCAAACTATTTTGTCCCACAATTCTACCTTACCTCACCCATATCATAAACGAAGTCCTGCAGTCTGGTAAATATCCGCTATCATGGAAACAAGCCGTGATAACACCATTACCAAAAATCAAGTGCCCTAAGGAATTCAAAGATTTACGGCCTATAAGCATACTTCCTACAATGTCTAAAATAGTGGAAACGGTAATTAATTCGCAGCTGAGGTCATATGTGTTCAGTAAAAATATTATTCCCCACCATCAGTCTGGTTTTAGACCGCATCGTAGTTGTACTACATCTTTGATAGACATCACGGATGAAATTATCTCCGCCACCGATTCGAAGATGGTATCTGTCCTAGGGCTTTTAGATTTCAGTAAAGCTTTCGATACACTCAACCATGATGTTCTTCTCAGTATCCTTGGAAGTGTTGGATTATCAACAGCTGCGGTTAATTTGTTTAGTAGCTATTTAAGTGGACGGAGCCAATGCGTTAAAATTATGTCACGCCGATCTCGTTTCTTACCAACTCTTAGGGGTGTTCCCCAAGGGTCTATTTTAGGCCCTCTTATGTTTATTCTTTACACATCCCGTTTTAGTGAATACATTTCGCATTGCAAAATGAAAATGTTCGCCGATGATACCCAAATCCTACATTCATTTCGCGTGGATGAGTCCATAGAGTCCATAGCTGCTGTTCGTAATATAAATGATGATCTACGTTCAATCGAAGCTGTCTCACGTATGCATTCACTGTTCATAAATCCGGCGAAGTCTTCAATAATATTTTTTGGAAATACTGATAATATCCGAGCCATCAACCAGCATGCAAATTTTTTTTTGAACGACACAAACATACCGATTAAAACCGAAGTGAAAAACTTAGGTTTGCACATGGACAATTCGTTTAGATACGATACTCAAATCAATATGTACCTCAAGAAAAGTTTAATCAATTTAAAGTTAATATATCCACATAGGAAATCTTTACCAATAAAAACAAAAGCTTTGTTGTGTAACTCTCTTGTATTATCGCATTTCAATTACTGCTCCGAGCTATATTGGTCGTCTATAAAGCAAGATACGGTACGACGCATTCAGCGAGTACAGAACAGTTGCATGCGAATGATTTATGGTATACGTAAATTCGAACGCATTTCGCATAAACTGCGTGATTTGAACTGGCTGAATATGAGCAATAGAAGAAGACTTCAGTTTGCAACACTCTGCCCCAAAGTACTGACCACAAAGACACCAGCTTATCTCTTTAATAAAATCCGCTTCAGAACAGATGTTCATAATATAAATTTAAGATACCGCGGTTTAATTTCTCCACCAAAGCATTCCACTGCCCTATACGAACGCACCTTTCAGTACCAAATTTATAAAGTCTATATAATAACTTATCAGCTGAACTCAAAGCTTCATCTCTTCCTCTCTTCAAAAAAAAACTGTTCCGTTCTTTATTACATCTTCAAAATGACGCATAATAACATCATCAATTCA